GCGTCGCTCCTCCCCCGCGGCCGCCGGCGCTCCCAGCGGTCTGAGCCCCGCGCCGCGCCCAGCCTGGCCGACCTCAAACTACAACTCCCGTCACGCCTCGCGATTGTGACCTGAGGCCACCATGCATCCCGAGCGCGGTGTACGCCGGGAACCAGGGGGAACTACCATTCCCGTGATGCGTCGCGATTATGACGTGGGACACACCCTTGGTCTTCGGGGATCGGGGCACGCCGAGGGTCCTCGGGAAACTACAGCTCCCACGACGCCTCGCGATTGTGACTTGACACACCATTGGTTAGTTTGCGTCGCGGTGTACGCCGGGATATAGCCCGGAACTACTTTTCCCATGATGCCTCGCCACGATGACTTAGGACGCCATTGGTCCTCGGAGCTCCGTGGTCCGGAGGGGGCGTGGCCCTTTCCGCCGTCGCGCGGTTGCCCCGGGCAACGGGATCCCGGCGCCGGATCGCTGAGCGGGAAATCCCTGGCGGCCTCCGTGGAAGGACAACGTGGACGAGGTCAGTGGGGAGCGGGAGGCGTGCACGGGAGGCGGGCCTCCGTTTCCTCGGGGTCCCGCCCGGCCCCTCCCCTGCGGCCCTCGCAGCTGCTCCCCGGCCGCCTGGGCTGCGGGGCGGGGCCATCTCCGGGGCCTCTCACGCGCGCAGCCCGTCGCGGGGCTGTGCGTGCTGCTCTTGGGCGCCGGCCCCCGCCTCGCAGGGACACTTTGGGGAGGGCGTGGACTCTGCGTTTTATCTGCGGCGAGTAGCCTGTGAAGCAGCGGGGCGGTGGCTCCCGCCTGTCACCTCCGGAGGCGGAGACGTGAGGATGGAGGCTGGAAAGTCCGTGAGCCTCTTATTGCTACCAAAATAGCCTGAAGTGGAGCTGGGGCTCAACTGGCAGCGCACCAGTCTCGAGCTGCAAGGTCCGGGGCGGAGCCCAAGCCCCGAGTTCGAGCCCCAGGACTAGCCAGAAAAAGAAAAAGAAAAACGCCCCGTGCGGTGTGGATTAGCGCAGTGAAGCCTGGGACTCATCCCACGGGACAGATGCGCGTTTACCTTGGAGAAACAAAACAAAAATCCCTTGAAAAGATAAAGGGCGGGGGACCCCCTTAGTAACGCCCCGAGTGCGGACCCCAATCCTGCCAGAAACACAAGGCGGGAGGAGGGCGGACGGCCGTGAGCCGCGTCTCCGTCCGTGTCCAGTGCCGGCGGCCGCGCCCGGGGCCGGCGGTCTCCGCGGGCGCAGAGCCCCGGACGCGGTTCCCACGGGGCAGGGAAGGCCTGTGACCCCCCCAGCACAGCAGAGCTGCGGGACCCGCAGAGCACAGCGGCCCGATCCCCCCCACCCCCCGACGACCTCGTCTGAGACGACAGACCCGCGCTGTGGGGGCAGCGTTAACCCGCCTGCGGGGCAGACGCGCGGCCCGAGCCGCGGCCCCGGCCGCCCCTAGTGGAGGCCGCAGCGGGGTCCCCCTTCCCGGCGCCCCCAGCGGCTTCTCCTCTCCCCCCAGCATGGCTTCTGCGAGCAAACTGCGTTCTGGCCCGGGTGGCATGTTTGATCTCAGCGACCTCTCTCTAGAAGATTCCAAGATGGAAGCAGTCAGAAACCTGCCGGCCCGCCCGGGGCTGGCGCAGGCCGGCCCGGGACACAGCCGGTTCCTCAGGAGACACCAAAGCGGGGCCCCGCCGCGTGCGCCGGGCG